ATATGCGTTAAGAAAAACATACATGTAAAAAATTGAGTTAATCAAACATAAGTAATTAATCACATATGTATTATAATAAATGATCGGTCTATTCCTAAACACATGCAAGTTGTATACGTAAAAATGATATGACAGTATTTGAATCAATGTTAGATCAATTTCATTTTTTTCATGAATAATTTTCTCAACTAATTTTATGCAATAAATAGTTTAAATTACCGAAATAGGCCCAAATTAATCTTCCAACTCTGTGCCTTTTTTTTTATCAAATTTAAATTTGATGAAAAAAGTAAGCTTTTGTTGCAATCTTTTCATCAAACCAAAATTAAATCTAAGACATCTAAAGTTTTTATCAAATTAAAAATGGTTGTGCCTTTCATCAAGTTATTGTTCATAGCCATTGGAGATGCAGGGCATAAACCATTACTGGATGATCGACCGAATGTCTAACCAGTTGTCCCCCGGTTGACCACCTCTTTGTAAAAATATGTAAAAAAATTACATTGGTCAGTTGACTGACTAGACATCCCCCGGTCGTCCTTCATGTCGATCGGTATTTTGATGAAATTTCAAATTGCACTATTAGAGCACGCGATATTAGATGGAGTTTTTACTCAAATTTTTATTCAAATTTGATGAAGAAAAAAATATTAAAATATTGGAGATGTGAAATCGAAATTCGGACTCATTAAATTTCAAGCACAAGTGCATTGCCTCACCTAAACTCCATTTGCATGGGGACAATACGATGGAGTTGAATTGGAATTTAATTTTTTGAAAATTAAATTTTTTATTTTTTATATTTTTAGTATTTTTTTATTTTAATATTGTAAGTAAATTTTTTACTTTTTAGACATATCTAAAAAGTAAAATATTTGTAAAAAATTAATAAATATACAAGAATTCGAAAATGTACTGAATTTTTATATATTTTTGGTATTTAGAAAAAAAATTGACGATTTTTTTTACAAATATTATATTTTTAAATTGTATTTATATTAATTGTATCTAAAAAGTAAAAAAAAAATTACTTAAAATATTAAAAAAATTCATAAAAAATATAAAAATATAAAAAACAAAAAACTTAATTTTAAAAAAATTGAATTTGAGAAATTGAAACCAAATGAATCAAACTCTAATTAAAAAGAGTAATATTAGAGATCATAAAAAAAACAATAATACACACTAATAAAAAAATTTATAATATATTTTATAATATTTTTCTTATAATTTCTAATATTATTCCTCCAAGAATAATATCTAAGTAATTTTCCTGTTTCAGGCTTTATATAGAAGACTTGCCTCAACCTTACCTTCTCAAGGTGGGGGTCAATGAAAGAAAGCAGTTGAGTTTGATGTGATGTGTTAGAGAGGTGATGTGATTTAAATAAGATGATGTGACTTAAATAAGATAGTGACTTTTTGACTTTTTGTATTATTTAGGTTATGCCAAACTTGAGTTTCTCACAAATATCAAGTACAACTGTTCACTCTTACTAACCCAATCATTTTTTTTTTTGATCAGTAAAGAAAAATTTTATTAAAAATATGAAATTAAAGGTACAGGAAGATGACATGCATCAAGAGAGATTCGGAAAGTACAGAATACTCCTACTACTGCTATTCGCATCCATACAACCAATCCCTTGACCTCACGATTTTTTTTTTTTTTAAACAAAAAAGTTAAGAAGAACTTAACTAGAAAATAAAATACAAGACTCCCCACAAAATCAACCCACACAACCCGAACCCAAAAACCAACACCAAAATACCCAAGCTTAACAAACTATCTCCCAATGCTGCTGCACTCCCAATCCACCTGAGCTGCCAAGACCATCATCAGCCTCTTCTCCACTCTGCTGATTACCCTTTGCTGGCTCACCTACCCTGGTACACCATCCTCCTTGCCTCTATAACCATCTTTTGACTCCAAGCTAGCAACCTATTTGAAGGCCAACTTCTCTGCAAGCCCCTGAACAATAAACTCACACACCCCCGATAGGACACCCACCACCACTTCCATGGTCGAAACACCTCCTTATAGAACACCCAACTCCACTCCACTTCCGATTCAAACCTCCGAACACTCACAGCAACCGAACACACCTGATGACGAACAAAACCCGCTGCCATTGCGGAACAAAACCCACTGCCAACTTCAGCTCCATGGTTGGACACCTCTGTTCCGATCCAAACTCTGAACACACCTGCTGTAGAAGCTCTAAAGTTAACACCCAAAAGAACAACCAAACCGCCAAGGCACCGCCATACATCTGAAAGAAGTTCACCCCCCAAATACCCACTAGAAAAGGAGCGCTCGAATGAAATCTTAGATCTGGATCGAAAATCTGGATCTAGATCTGAACTCTTAGATCTAAGATCTGGACCGAAACATCACCAAAGATCTAAACCAAAGATTCATCCCTCAAACTCCCACTCGCACAGGAACGCCCGAATGAAACTCCTAGCCATATTAGAACAACCGCTAACCCAGACCAAAACCGACCACCATCTACTCTGTTTTGACCCCTAAACCAAGCACCCCCTGGTGAAACAAAACAAAACAACCCCAATGGGAGCTGGACCAGCAGCACCGCAACACACCTAAGTGGGAAAATAATGTGGGAATCAAGTTGTTATAAGGAAAGACCAAAAAGGGAGCTGGACTAGCCGACTGCCATAGCCAAAAGCGGGGGCTGACCAGCCAAAAGTGAGGCCCGGGAGTGGAGGTTTTTAGAGAGAGAGAGAGAGAGAGAGAGGTTTTAAAAACTACTGCTTTATCATAGTTTAGTACACTTTCTTACTAACCCAATCATATAGGCTTTATAACTACAATATAACGTAAAGGAATGGTTTCCCTTGAATTGGAGGGTACTGTTAGTCCCGTGAAAATTTATTATAGATCTCGTTTTAATAATTCAAACTTTTAAGTTGTCGGATATCGATAGGTATGTGATCAAATTAGTTTTGTATAAAAAAAAATAAACGGTGAAAAATAAACAGCTTACAAAAATCTGATTTGATCACATAACTATTGATATCCGATCAACATTATTTTTTACAAATATATAGTATTCAACGATTTTTACATATTCAACGGTTCAAATTATCGAAATGAAATCCGTGATGAACCCCTATGAATTTAATAGTATCCTCCAATCCGATCCCGAATTAGAGCTAATGGAAAATTTTGTTGTTAACAGAAGTGATACTCTCACAACCCAAACTCAAAATCTCAAACTAAGAGCTTTTCTTTACTTTTTTTTTTTTCCAAAAAGAAAATGAAAAATAGTAATATTGTATGGTGATATGATTGTTATACCTAATATTTTTGTTGAATTGGTGGGACAAGTGGTAAATATCTTTAATTAGTTTATTGATTGGTATAATCGAAGTTACATCATGAGTGGTATGAACAAACCTTTTTGTATAAAGGTAAGGTTGGGATTGAAACATTGGTCTTTTCCTTCGTACGTTTTGTTTTGTCTTGTCATGTCAAGTGGAAGAGAATGATGAGATTGGAATGAACTTTTTTGATGGGTTGGTTTGGGATGTACTAAAAAAGTGTATTTTTTGTCTTTTTACGAAAAGATGTGCAGAAAAGTAGAGAGGTGATGTGATGGAAAAAAGATAAAAAGATAAAAAGATGGATTATATAGTAGATGACAAACAAGGCTGTAATGATGAACACTTCCAATGTCTTTTTAAAATTGTAAAGTCTCGTTTGAAAATTGAATTTTTTAGTTAAAAAATTATTAAATTAATTAAAAAAATTAATAATTCATATTAAAAAATTAAAAATTCTTTTTTTTTTTTTAATTTTTTACACATCTTTTCGTAAAAAATCAAAAAATCATCCCAAACATACTAATTTTTTTTAGCTCATATTTTAACTAAATAGTCAAAAAATTACTAAATTAGCCTGTTCCCAAACGAAACCTAAATTAAGTAAAAGAAATAATGTACCACTTTTTTCTTTTTGAATATTTTTATGTTTTTGGCTACAAGGCCACTTGTTAACAGAATAGATTTTAATAATGTAGAGGATTAATCATAACTAATTCTATACATAATTAAGCATAATACAAAGATTTCCTGAAAATCGGGTAGCACAAATCTCCCGTTATTTGGGTATGCTTCGTACCTTTGTTCTTCCATGTGCCCTCTAATCCTCAGTTCATGGGGGTGAATCTTCCACAACAAATGTAATTTGTATTTCAATAATGAAATGAAAATCTCTGTTTCATGATTAACAGTTCTTAATGAATAGCATCAATAAATTTTTATTTAAATTCAAAAAATAAATAAGACAAGTTTTTAAAGAAAATACTCAGAATATGTATTTCAAGTACTCTGATCTACTTTCATTTCCATTCAATCACCCCTTTTTTTTTTCCCACTCATATGCATGTTTTGGATGATAGAAGAATCTGCAAAAAGGTCACCTGAGCAGTTCCACAACTTAACCTTGTCTGTGAAAATTGACAATTCATGGTAAAAAGGATCTAACAGTTGTCAATATTTTGGTACAAGAGGTCAAAGAGATTTAACGACAATATCCTTGGCCCTGTTTCCTTGTGTGACACTATCCTAGGTCCTGTTTCCCTGTTTCGGCAGAAGATTTTTTGTCTGCAAATCTCCGTGTCACTTATTTCAAAACACTCACAATCGCTAGATTATGTCTCGAGATTTTCACATCTCAAGACATGATCTTACGATTGTTAAAATTTTGAAATAAGAGAACAAACCAATTTAGAAAAAAGAGCCTCTGTCACCACGTCTCTGTCCCCTTATCTCAAGATATTGTAAGTCGTCTGATCATGTATTATGGTTTTTATGTCTCGAGATTCTTATATAAATGAAGTTGTTAAAGCAGAAATCTTGTGTTCAATTCATATTGGTGACTTCTGACCTACACGATAATTGTGAATGATTTCAAAATGACCTCCCCTTGGAGAGGTTCCTCGTCATAATAAAAATATAACAATATAGGGGGACAATTAGTGAAAACCTTCCTCTAATAGTTGGGTAAAGTCGAAACGAATTTAACAATACAAAAATATAATACAAAAAACAGTAAAGACCCATCACCAATCTCAATTTTCCTTCACCATAGTCATTTCACTATTTTTCTATAACACTTGAGAAAATAATTGCAATAAAATAGCACCCTACCTCCTTTGTCATTAGAAGATACAACAGTGTGGATAATTACGATGAAAGAGGTTACCGGCATCCGAGTTCAGCTCTTCCTTCTTCACTGATAGTAGTGTTTGTACAAAGCTTCTGAAGATCAATGTAGCCTATGATGGTGTCCTCAAACACAGCATCTTCCAATTGAGCTTCATTAAAGGTGGAACCTGACAGTACTGTATTCCTAAACACAGCTCCTTTGAGGTCGGCTTTCGCAAAATTAACGCGATCCAAAACTGCATTTGAGAAGTCTACACCTGCAATCGATTTGTATCACCCTCTCAGTTGCAATCGATTCTTAAGAATTCAAGCTTAATTTGTTTCGAGAATTAGTACTATGGTCAGAAAAGTATTGTTATAGATCTATCTAAAGAAAAGCATTGTTATATATCTCATCTAGTGTTATTGTTAGGTGAGTGTTCAATCACTTAGTGGGTTGACCTGTGCTAAAGTCTCTGTTGAGATTGAAGAGAAAAAAGAAATCCCAAGATCTTTTATGCTTAAGGTTATCGTGACCCTTATGAATTAAAGTTGAGGTGCCATGGAAGTCTGATGAGTGTGAACAATGCAAACTTTTGGACATGCTTTAAATTCTTGTCCATACAAACTAATGCCTCAAACAAACTACAATAGAGAGCCAAAGAGAGTAGTGTAGAAATTGAAAAGCTGAGTAGGAAGAACTGAAGAAAAGAAAAGGTAAGGGAGTGGTGAATGATCCCCAAATGTAGGGCAAATATGAGATCAATGACTTCATCTTCAAAATATTTCTATATACTTTCTCCAATGACTTCGTCTTCAAAATATTTCTATATACTTTCTTTCAAAGAAGAGAAAGTGCCAGGGGTTGATAGTAAGAATCGGGAATGCTCTACATCTTCAGGTTCTTCGATAAAAATTTATGATGTGTAATATGATTAGTGTAGAAAAAGTGGAGACCTGAGAAGCTAGTATGGAGGTGAACAGTAGCGCCCCAGCAAATGAGGTGGTTGAGACAGAAACCACTCCTTAAAGGGGAGGGACCAAGCACAATAAGGATAGCTCTCCATCCAATAAGGACAAAAATAAAAGGAGGCTTGAGGATAAGATTCTCAATCTTAAACTTGAAAGTGAGCAGGCTATTGTGAACATATCCATCAAGACAAAGGAAGTAATGCTCAAAATTTTCTAGCAAGCCTACAAACTCAAAGAAGAAAGACGTTGAAGGTTGATGTTTCCGAGATTCTGCATTGATGTAGTTTGGTGGTTTTATGTTGTATGTTTCAAACCAACTGGGGCTAGTCCAATTGGCCAAAATCCTACACCTCAATAGGAGGTCAAGGGTTCAAGTCTTGCCCCAAGCAAGACTCTCCCCCTTCCCCATACCCCAAAAAAAAAAACATGTGCGCTTTATTGTCCCATAATGGATTTGTGAGAGGGTGTGTTCTTAGTGTCTTTCGACCTAGGCTCTCGACTTGCTAGAGTTTATCTTCTGTAGGCTAGACGTGTGTTGTGTGTCTTCCCCACTAGGAGAGTTTGCCTCCAGGTATGTCTTAATGTCCATTGTTTATATTTCTACTTTCTAGTAATAAAAAACTCACTCCCCAAAAAAAAAATAAAGCATCCAACCAAAGGCACATTACTGAATTATTGTGAGAATTCAGTTTTTGTTAGAATTAGAACTGCAGATACAAAAACCACATCTCCTAAGTAGAACATGTGCATAGATGGACATATAATGATCTCTGAACCAGTGGAAAACATCCATCAATAAGAAGAAGAAGAATCACAAAAAGGAAGATAAAGGAACTCACCCTTGAAGCTAGCTCCAACAGCATAAGCCTTTGACATTACCACTTCCGTCATGTCTGCACCATCAAACTTGGCCTCTGACATAAGTGCTGCTGCAAGAGACTTTCCCTTGAGGTTGGATTTATCATTTGTGTAATCGCAGAAGCGGAGATCAATTGGCTTGTCATAAACACCATTTGCTTGACCTATTGTGTTACCAACAAATGCACGCTCACATCGGTTGGGCTCTGTTGATAGAGGAGGGAGCCTCTGCAAGGAAAAGACATAATTTACTTCGGCCTTCATTCCATAAGACCACAAACTAGTTTCCTGGGATTCACACCCACGCACGCACACATGGAAGCACACAAGCAACACGCACAAACCAAAGAGGAGAAACACATAGAATTTACGTGGTTTGACACAAACCTACCTACGTCCACAGGAAAGAGAGATATCTCCACCATAAAAAGGAAATATTACAAGTATGAGACCAAAAACTCAAGAACAATTACTGAGGCCTAAAACAATCCCCATTTCTTTGTTGAAGGATAAATGAGCTGTAAAACAATCACCTACTTTCATGGTCACTCTCAGTGTCTTGAGCCCCAAAGGTACACTGGCTATTGGCTACGGGCTACATCTTCGCAAACCCTTTCAATCTCGCTAATCACTAAAAACACACACATTACATTTATAGGAAAAACCTAGAAATTCTAGTTCTTAGTTGCCATACAATCAAGGTTCTGAAAAGCGGTTGCGGTCGCCGTAACGGTGGCAGTGATCCGGTTGCGGTTGCGGTTGCGGAGTGTAAAGGCCGTTGTGTAACGGTTGCGGTAACCGGAACCATGAATTTTTTTATTTTTCGCCCAATTTAAAAAAAAATTATCGATGCTCATATTTTTTTTCCATGATCATATTTATTGGGTTAAAAATAAATATTGATCAATTTTTGTAAATTTTTAAGTATGATCCAACATATTTCATTTTTTTAAATCACTATAAATTGAGTTTTTTTACATTTTATTTTAATAATTAATGATTTTATATTATACAAAAAATCAATCACTAACTATTATATATAAGATAAACAATGACAAAAGTAAGAGAATAAATAAAAATAAATAAGAGCCTAAATATTTATATATATATACATATTTTAACCAAGTCAAATAAATAATGACCACACTTATTATTATTATGATTTTCAAACAATATATATATAGACACACACAAACAAAATGGTTTAGTGATAGCAGTTGAATAGAATAGCATAGGTCTTACAAGTTCAACAAATCAATAACATGTTCTTCATCTTCTCTCTTCTCTCTCTCTATCTCTTGCTCTTTCATTTTCTCTCTTTATCTTCCCTCTTCTCTCTATCTCTCTTCTCCCATTTTTAGCTTTTTTTTGTGTGTTTTTTTGAAAGAAACAGTTTGGAACCGTTACGTAACGGTGTGTTACGGCTGTTACAGCACCGTTACGACCGCTACGGCAGTCGCTACGGCCGACACACCTGTGAATCTCAATCACACTGCAAAAGCAGCCGTAACAGGTGGCGGTAACCGCCAAAACCGCTACGTAACGGCGTTACGTAATGGTTGCGGCCGCTTTTTAAAACCTTGCATACAATTTATGATCACCATACACTAGTTCGATCACCTAATGGGTTCATGACCCCACAAACCTGACCTAAGTACATGTACCAGCCAATAACTCTATCGGTGTGCATAATACAAGACACACCCAACAACTAGTGGGTATTATTATCGTATTTTAGTATTATCAATGAAGAATGTGTAAAATGTGTAAATTTAGCTAAACCAAGATGAAGAACTTTGAAAATTATGGAGAAGAGAAAATTTGTTTCCAGAGGAATCCGGTTAATCTAATAGCAGTGGAGGACAAAGGAGGGTGTAGTAAAATATGAAGTTCGGCCAAGAAATTCCAAAAACAAAGGGAAGCCTATAGAATATCAATAAGATATTAAAATTCCCAGTTTTCTATACATGCCAGATAGGAAGATAACGTAAATTGTTTAAATGCAACAAGTGGGATCAAGGTTTTAAAAAGCAGCCGCAACCGTTACGTAATGCCGTTACGTAATTGTTTTGGCGGTTACCGCCACCTGTTACGGCCGCTTTTGCAGTGTGATTGAGATTCACAAGTGTGTCAGCCGTAGCGGTCGTAACGGTGCCGTAACAGCCATAACGCGCCGTAACAGCCGTTACGTAACGGTTCCAAATTGTTTCTTTCGAAAAAACACACAAAAAAAAAGCTAAAAATAGGGGAAGAGGGATAGAGGGATAGAAAGAAAAGGGAAGATAAAGAGAGACAATGAAGGAGCAAGAGATAGAGAGAGAGAAGAGGGAAGATGAAGAACGTGTTATTAATTTGTTGAATTTGTAAGACCTATGCTATTCTATTCAACTGCTATTACTAAACCATTTTATTTGTGTGTGTCTATCTATATATTGTTTGAAAATCATAATAATAATAAGTGTGGTCATTATTTATTTGACTTGGTTAAAATATGTATATATATATAAATATTTAGGCTCTTATTTATTTTCTTACTTTTGTTATTATTTATCTCATATATAATAGTTAGTGATTGATTTTTTGTATAATATAAAGTCATTAATTATTAAAATAAAATGTTAAAAACTCAATTTATAGTGATTTAAAAAAATAAAATATATTGGATCATACTTAAAAATTTACAAAAATTGATTAATATTTATTTTTAACCCAATAAATATGATCATGGAAAAAAAATATAAGTATCGGTAAGTTTTTTTTAAATTGTGCGAAAAATAAAAAAATTCACGGTTCCGGTTACCGCAACCGTTACACTACGGCCTTTATACCCCGCAACTGCAACCGCGTCACCGCCACCGTTACGGCGACTGCAACCGCTTTTCAGAACTTGAGTGGGATAGTGAGGGATTTGTGTTGGATTATTTCCTGTGTTTGGAGATGGAATTGCAGTTGGTCATTAGAACTGATGCCCCACTCATTGTCAAGTGCCTTAAGGCATACAAAACATAAGGCCATTATGTTCATATGCTGAAGAGTGCACAGTAAAAAAAAGAAAATGTAAATGGAATTTTTGAAAAGAAAAAATGAGAGCACGCTCTTAACCTGATTAGCAGCAATTACAGGTGAGGCAGTAGCCACTGCCCAAACAGCAAGAATGCCACAAGTGACATTCCTTAGTTCCTTCAAACTAGCTGAACTTTCCTCAAGTTTGTCACCATCCCTAGAGGCTGTTGCCACATAGAACAAACATAGTTAACATTGATTAGCTCAAGATTAGCTCGGTTAGATTGATATAGACAAAGCAAGGTGGAATTTGATTCACACTCAGAGGAAAGAGTAAAGGCATAAAAGGGGTATTAACATAAAAATATAATCGTCCATTTCATTACTGCAAAGTCAGAGGGAAAGCTAACATAATTCGACAGTTTATACAAACAATCCATTCCAATCCAATTAGCTGCAAATAGGCTGCAAAACGAACTAAGCTAATTGAGCTTGACTGATATTTGAGATTGACTTGAAAGGTAAACAAGCCAAATTTGAGACCCTTTTAAAACTCATTAAGTTTTTGAGCCAAACTTGAACAGCCTACTACTCAATGGCCCCGTTTGGTAGAGCTGTGAGAAAGTGATTATAACTTATAACTTAACAGCTTATAGCTTATAGCTGTGAACATAAACTGATTTTTTACTTATAAATTAAGCTTCTCCTCCCCCACTCAAATAATAAGTTGATTTTTGACTTACAAAAAGCTATAAGCTGTATTGTTTAGTTGAACCAAACACATCAAAATAGCTTAAATTAAGCTAAAAGCTGAAATAAGCTGGAAATAAGCTCTACCAAACAAGGCCAATGCACTATAAAAAAATAAGCTACTTGAGTTCTTCTCATGTTCCAAGCTTTAACTCGTTTTAAAATGCATTAAGTTTTGAAGCCAAACTTGAACAACCGATTGGCTACTACTCAACTCACCTCAACTTGATTATATGCACTATAAATATTTGAGTTCCGCTGGTGATTGGCTCAATTAAGGCCATTCAAGATCGACTCAAAAGGTAAACAAGCCAAACTTAAATTCGCATTTTAAAACTCATTAAGTTTTCAAGTCAATCTTAAACAACCTACTACTTGACACGATTCAGTGCATTTAGGGACGAAGATAGGGGATGTCCATGGTGGCCATGGGCCCCCTTAAACTTTTCCAAATCATCAATTAATCCCATTTTGTGAACATTTTTATATTGTACATGGCAAAGTTTTTAAAGGCGAATGCATAATGTGAGGCGTTTTAGTCCTCAGGAGGCGAGACGTAAGCCTTCAAACGCTGAAGCGTAAGCATTTCAAATTCTAAATTTTTATATTTAGTAAATAATTTATATATTTTAAAACAATAAATAAATACATCAAAATTAAATATAAAAGTGTAAATACTTTTCTGCTGAAGGCTCACTGCAGAGAAGGAAGCTTTGCTCTTTTGAAAGTGAAATTGGTATTCTTAGCATTAGTGATTGGGTTTCTCACTAAGCATTAACTTCATATTTTTTCTTAATTGATCATTTACTTAATTTTTCCTATAGCATATGATTGTAAAAAGGGTTTTTTTATTTTGTACTTTTTTACGTTTAAACCATCTACTAGACTAAATTTAACAAGAACTTAAGATAAACTCTTCATATATGTACTCCTCACATGCATATGCGTAAAACGTGTACAAGACGCACCTAAGGCGCATGTCTCAAATTGTGTGCGCAAGCCTTTGGGAATAAAGTCTAAAAATCAAAGCCTTGAGGCATTTTGCCTTAGCCTTGCCTCAAGGCGAGCCTCAGTAAAGCCTTTTAAAACGTTGGTACATGGAACAACCTCTAATTATTTTAAAAATTCTTCTATTGGCTCCTTATATTACATAAGTATTATAACAATGCATATAAGATGATTCTAAACTATTTATGTTTAATATAATAGTATCAATCTTATGATATCATTATTTTTATAATATTCATGAAGATAGAATTTTTATTTATACCAATTAATGAAATGCCTTAAAAAGGTTATAATTATACAGTTTAAAAATTGTATGATATAATTAGAATACATATTAAAAAAGACTGATATAAATTTTACTGATTTGTCTTATTAGTTTTATTGACAGTTGTAGTTGCAGTTGCAACAAGTTAAAATTTTGATTCTCTCCTACAAAACAAGCATTAAGTAATGAACCAAACCACAAGTTTTCTTGAATTGAGATCATGTCTTATAAACCAGTTTTCGATACACATGATGTATTTCTAATCGAATGAAGAAAGTACATAGAAAAATGAAATACATACGCAGAAATTTAAACCCAAAATGAATTTTGTGGAGAGAAGTGACATTATTACCGGAGCAATTGATTCGGATCGGAGGCTGAAGATTGAGAGCCTTTAAACGGTGACGTGAATGTCGCAGAGAGAAAGCATTTTGGGAGATTGAAAAGGAAAGGATGGCCATTTTCATATCTGAGTATTTGTGCGTCTCTCAGTGTCTTTCAATTTATGACTTGTACTGTGGTTCTATCCATACTTCCCTCTCACGTGGCACGACACACTTCGGACAGCTTCAGCTTGTGGGTCATGTTTGGATGCAGGAGCAGATTAACCCAGCATATTCCACAACAGAAATAGGATAAATTACAAACACTCCTGAGGTTTATTTAAATTACAAATTACTCTTGTAATTTTAGAAATTACATTGTGCCCTTAGAATTTTTAATTTCATAACAAATAGGTCCTTTTATTAATAAATCATCAAGTTAATTAACAGTTTTTAATAATGTTACAATTTTATTTCAATTAATAATTTAGATAATTTTATTATTGTATAGGTGAACAGTTAGAAATTTCACTTTTTCAATTAATTCTGTTAAATAAAAAATTCTGATATGGAGATATTTGTAATTTTCCAAATTTACCCACAGAAATATTACTCAAAATTTACAAGTTATTCAAAATGATATGGGAGTGTTTTGAGAAGTTGGTAAAAAGCTAGTTTTTGGCTTTTTACCAAGCTTTTTGGCTTTTTTGAAAGTGATTTGGGAAGTTGGTAAAAAGCTGACTTTTTTGATTTATGATTTAATATTTTGTAAAAGTGTTACATCACTCTAAAATGACCAAAATATCCTTGTTTTTTAATTAGATTTACAATTTTGCCCTTTGGCATATCAACACTATTTTAAATTAATTAATAATAATTTTTTCAGAGGGTAGTTTGGTAAATGAAGAAGTTGCGTTTTGGGGTCTTCCCAAATGGTGGGTTTTGGCTTTTTGCATGGTGCTGCATTTTTGTTGTTGTTGCCAAACGCTGCGTTTTCGACTGCTTCCCAAAACAGCACATGGTACGAGAAAAAATTATTTATTGATTCACAAGTGTGGCTATATTTTTAACTAATCATAAATCATCATTTTTTTTATGTTTTTAATCATCTAATATAAAATCGTGAATTCTATCATTCCACCAATCGCACTATACCTGGGCACCAAATAACTTCTCTAGTACGAGTTATATATTATTGAATTTATAATAAATTAAAAATTAATACATAATATGTCATATTATTATGAGTTCAATTGTAAAATTTTCTGTCATGAAGTCCTTAGCCCAACATGTGAAGCTAGTTTTTTTGGTTTTGTTGCTCAGTGTTTATATTAATTTACACGCATCTTAATTAATTTCAAATGCTTGAAGTTAACGCTCAGACAAATTTTCATTAACTTCTTGTAATGACTTGAATTTGAGATTATTAAATTTTATTTTCAAGTTTTTATTGCTCATCTAATCTTGAAATGGATTTATATCCTATTACAATCTACTCATAATTTTTTTTTTTTGGGGGGGTATATTTCTATAAAAGTGGTTAACAATTGGACTAGAGTGAAAAATTAAATAATTTAGGGATCAAATTACAAAATAGTTATATTAAAAAAAAAACATTTATTTTTTTAGAGAGCAAAATATGCTTTATCTTAAAAATAATAATACCTCAACATGTAAGTAAAATAATAATTGATTTAAGAACAAAAATAAAAAATAAGTCAATGTTTTAGAGAGTAAAATATAATTTACTCTAAAAATGATAATACCTTACCGTGTAAGTATAATAATACTAATTGACTAAAGTAACCAAAGTGCAAAAAGTCATATTTCAAACGTCAAAATATAACTAATCGTAAAAATAATAATATCTTATCATATAAGCAAAATAAACTTATTTACATTAGGTCTTTAAATTATTAAAAAATATTATTTTAATTTTTAAATTATAAAAATGTACAAATAGAAATAAGTTATTAGTATGTTTCAGTTTAATCTATTATTCTGCTAGAGAGTTTAATTTGTTTACTTTCATAGTTTAAGAAATTTATTTGCACACTTTTATAATTTAAAATTAAAAAAAATAATATTTCTCAATAATTTTAAAATTTCATTTGTGTCATTTCATAATTTAGAGTTAAGATGATAGTTGTCAATAATTTACGAGTTTTCCGTATGAATAAAAAACCGTGGAAACAACCGGTGAAAAAAAAAAACCCGGCTTACAACATAACCTGAAAATATAAAAAACCGTTCCGAAGGCCTCTCCTTATTTCGCTGTTTAGCGTTCCACTTTTCTGTGTCTCTAATTTTCGTTGATCAGACCTTGGTCTCGATTGAACCCTAATAAAACCATGGAGAACACAGGCTTCTTGAACGAGAAGCTCGATCGCTTGGCAACCTGGGTCGCGATGGGCGTTGCTTCGGCATTTTTCTCATCTCTCGAACGCTTCGCTTGCGTTAACCTCACTACCTCCGAGTCCGACGACGACACCGAAGATGAGGCCAGAGATCGCCCCTTCATGTTCTCCGATGTCCAAAGCAATGCCGATACCACCACATCTGTTGATGATCTTCCTGTCTGATCTCTCAATCTTCTTCCTTCTCTATCTATCTATCTAGCTATCTAATCCAAACACTACGTATTTCATGCTTTTCAAATGAATTTGAATGAAATTTTGTTGTCTTTGCGATTGAAATGTTATATAATATGTTTTACGTGAATTTGAATTTGTTTTATTCACATTTTGTGTGTGTGTGATCGCAAAATTGAGCATTCGATCTTCGTTCGGCACATATTCTATGTATCTAATGAAACAATGTGCATTTTATGGTGGAATTGAAGGAAATTTTTGTTATTATTTACAATTTCTGTGGAAAATTAAGCATTTGATTACATCTTCTATGTATCTATTGAATCAAAAGAATGTGTGTTTATGGTTAGACAAAGGAATTGAAGGAAATTTCCTGTTTTCTTTGTGATTGAAATGTTATAGTATGTTTTTACATGAATTTGAATTTGTTAGTGTTTGTTTGGTGTTGCGCAGCTGGATTGAGTTCCGTTGTTTGTTTGATTCAAATGAATGTGAATTTTATTGTTAGCCAAAGAAATTGAAGAAATTTTGTTGTCTTTGTTAATTGAACCGTTGTCCTGTGTTTTACATGAATTTGAATTTGCTAGTGTTTAGCATTGCGTTGCTGAATCCAGTTTGGTTGCTTGTTTGATTTACGATTACTGTGCAAAATCAAGCATTCAATCTTTGCTCGGTTCGTATTCTATGTATCTAATTAATTGAAGGAGTATGTATTTTATGATTTTCAAAAGAAATTGAATGAAATTTTGTTTTCTTTGTGATTGAAATGTTATTGCATGTTTTACACAAATTTTAGATTTTGTTAGTGTTCGCCATTGCATAGCTGAATCGAGTTCGGTTGTTTGTTTTTTGTGCGAAATTGAGCATTCAATCTTCATTTGGCACAATGTATCTAATGGAACGAATGTGCATGTTATGGTTAGCCAAAGGAATTGAAGGAATTTTTTGTTGTTTTTGTGATTATTTGGCTTTACGAATTTGAATTTTTTTATTACAATTCCTGTGGAAAATTAAGCATTTGATTACATTTTCCATGTATCTATTGAATCAGAAGAATGTGTGTTTTATGGTTAGCCAAAGGAATTGAAGGAAATTTTTGTTGTCTTTGTTGTTGTTTGCTTCTTGATTGGACTGTAATCCTATTTTTTACACAAATTTGAATTTGTTGATTTACTATTTTTGTGTGAAATTAAGCAGTCAATCTTTGTATGGTACATCTTCTATGTATTCCAATCAAAAGATGTGTGTGTGTGTTTTAGGCAAAGAAGTTGAAGGAAATTTTGTTGTCTTTGTGATTGTTTGGATTCTTGATTGGATTGTTATCCTATGTTTTACACGAATTTGAATTTTTTATTTTTGGCACTGAGCAGCTGAATCCGGTTCTGTTGTGCATCTTTTATGTATGTATCCAATCAAACGAATGTGTCTTTTATGGTTAGCCATAGAAATTGAAGAAATTTTGTAGTCTTTGGGATTGTTTGGCTTCTTGATTGAATTGTTGTTTGTGTTTTACATGAATTTGGATTTGTTAGTGTTTGCCATTGAGAGCAGCTGAATCGAGTTCGGTTGCTTGTTTGATTAACAATTTTTGTGCAAAATTAATCATTTGATCTTCATTTGGCACATCTTCTATGGATCCATCCAATCATAAGTTTGTGTCCTTCATGGTTAGCCAAAACAATTGAGGAAAATTTTGTTATCTTTGTGATTGGTTGGCTTCTTAATTGAACTATTATAGTATGTTTTACCCGAATTTGGATTTGTTAGTGTTTGGCATTGTGTGATGATTGTTTCGCTTTTCCCTCAGCTGTGAGAAAACTTTTTCCTTTTGGCAACACCAAAAATAAGTTGTTTATTGTCTTATTTGAGTCACTCTCTTTACTTTTTTTACTCATCTTTTCGTAATAAGCAAAAAAAAAAAAAAAAGTCATACCCAAAACATGAGTTCACTAATTGCTTTTCTTTTTTATTTTATTATCCTCTTGTATGATATCATAGGTGATTTTTACAGGTGTCTCTTATCTTCTTGTTTCCTTCAAATGGAGAATCGATTGAATAGGACATAAGTTTACTTTGTCCTTGTTGTTTGCTTCCCATGAACATGTTAAAAATATTACTGTCTTCGATTTTCTGTATATAAAGAACCTATTATGCTTTGGCTAATGTCTAGTGCATCCGCGTTACCTTTTTTGTCTTGTGTTTGCACACTAACACAATTGGTAGTTGAAAGCAAACACTCTGCTGTTGTAGGGTATATGATAGTAAGATATGCTCTCAATGTGCAAAGGTTTATTTATGTATATCTTTAGCCATAGTTGCTTGTTTATCTAGAACCAGGTTTTAAATTTAAAAAATAGTAATTTTTTATATTTTTGTTTCGTTTGCTACAAGATGGTGAACTGTAAAGGAAGCATTATTAGGTACTTGTAATGAATTTATTTATTTATTTATTTTTAGTAGTTGTAATGATTTTATGGCTTTATAGATGTTTGCTCTTCTTTTTTAATTTTTGATTTATTCTTTGTTTTTCTAGGAAATGTTGAAAAGGGTTTACTTTATTTATTTATTTTTTTTTTTTTGGCGAGGGGTGCATACAAAG